CCCAGGTGTATTTTGCATACCCCTGACCGACAGTACTGTGCCAACAACACTCTCAGTGTAGACACAGCTGTGACAGATGGGCAATTTCCTGCAATATCTTTGGGAGATCTCACTCTATTCAGTTGATCTATCATTGGGGGTCAGGGGTCCTATATAATTCCATGGCAGGAGGGTTACCACAGCCCCCCATGAACTAAGAAGGAGGGGGATTAGGCAAATTCACTCAAGTTGTAATCGCTCCAGAGAGGTACCACCACCTGGACAGGCTGCATGTACTGATTCAAACTGGATTCTACAGATACCAATACACAAAGAAGGGACTTCTGGATAAATGCCTCCTTTCTGATCCAGCAACCAGACAGGACCTTCTGTCCAAGGGGGGCCCAAATCCTCCCTGGGAAGGGTTGGAAGGACTTGGGCCTAATGGGGTCCCATAAGACTGGCAGGTGACATCTGGTGCGCGTGTAGGAACTTCTCTTGGTTTTAATATGTTTTCTCGGTCATGCTTTCACCTTAAGAACAAATGTGCTTGCTTAGAAAGGGCTGTGTGGGAACTTGTGACTGCTGGCAACTACAGCTGTGCGTGGCCTTCGGAGAGAACACAAAGTGCGGGTGCTGGCTTGTCTTGGCAGTCCGTCTCGCTGGGGATGTCACAGTGTAGGCAGGGGTCAGTGCAGCCTGGAAAAAAACCGGTCAGGAGGGAGAGAGACATGGGTCTCCACCCAAGAGAGGTGACGGCTGAGGAGCTGAGGGCCTAGAGGGGGTGCCTTTGAAGGGGGACCACGGACCAGGAATACGGGTGCAGTCACCCTGAACTGTACACTGTTGCATCTATCTATGCCGCTGCAAGCTCTGTAGTGTAGACGTAGCTTCTGCTCCCTTCCAAGTCAGGCTAAGGCACACGAGTGGGGGACACTTGCCCTGTTGCTGTTTGTGTGCTGTCCCTACGCTCAAGGAACCTCAGATGCCAAGTTTGACAATCCTGCCTTCCCCCCACCCCCATCAAATTCCCTGAACATGTCACACCAGCAGCGAGCGCCTGTGAAGGTAGGAAATGCATCTTTGCTGCACAGCGCGGGCCCTGGGAGGCCCACTGTCAAACATAAAAACAAGCAATCAGGAAGAAAAAGAAGCACCCAAAACAGCCCCTTATCACGCCACCAGCAGACGGGGAGAACTTGGCGCCGCTCGCCTTTCAGGCCGCGCAGCCCTGATAAAGTCTTGGGTAATTATAATCAGAAGAGAAAAGTGCCGAGGTAGAAATAACGAGATAATGCCGAAGGCTGCAGGAGGCCCCTGCGCTTCGCAGGGTGACGCTGGTGTAATCCCCACAGCCACAGCAAAAGAGGGAGCAGACGGATGCTGCGTGGAGGATGGGGCAGTTTTTACATTTTTCTCTCCAGAAATCCTGTCTTAGAACCAGCCACGCACACCTCTGCTCGGTCCCCGCCCCGTTGAGTCAGGGGGGTGAAAAATCCACACCCGAGGGCTTAGCGAGGCCGAGCTAACCCAGGGTGTAGATGCAGTTAGGTCAATGGAAGAATGTGTCTGGTGACCTAGTTACCGTCACGCGAGGAGGAGGAGTTCCTCCAGCGACAGGAAAACCCCTTCTGGCGGCGTAGGTTGCGTCTACACTACCATGTTACCCCGGCAGAGCCATGGTGCTGGAGTTGTACCACGGTAGGCCCCGTAGTGTAGACAAGCCCAGAGAAGGATGCAAAATCTAGAGGCCCTGATTCTCCATTCTTCTGCCTCGCGTGGTCATTGACACTGGGGCAAAGAGGGTCAGTCACAAGCCAGAGCGGCCGTGATTTGCACACGCTTCACACTCACGCTGTGCTGGGATTGCACGGGGGCAGGGCAACAGGCGATCTGGGGTAACTATTTGTACCTTTCCCTAGAAAGCAGGTGGGGCTAGCTAATCAAATCATGCTCTTCAGGGCAGGTGCCATCTTTTTTGTCCTGTGTCTGCACAGCACCTTGCACATAAGGTGCAGGGCCATCGCTGGGCTCCTAGGTGCTGGGCGAATACACATAATAAATAAGATCAGTGATGATAAGGTGCTTTGAGATCCTCAGGTGCAGGATGCTGTCAGAGGCCAGAGCACTCACCTTTGGTCCATCCAGAATGGCTTGTGCATCTTTCTCTTACCCATTTCCCTCAGTCCCAACTCTGAGGCACCAGAAGTTCTGGGGGAAGCTAATGCAACAGAAAGAGTTGATGGAGCAAGTCCCAGGCCGCAGCCCCCTGGGAAAACTGGAGTCAGCATGTGTATTGTGGGCATCGCGTGTTTTCTTTGGACTTGATGAAAGGCAGGTCTCCACCTGGGCCTGTGTGGCTGGTGTCCCATACCTGCCATCGGGCATATTCACTGTGATCCCTAGGGGGCAGCACCCCTGCTCCTCTGCTGGGCTCGGAGTTAACAGGGGCAGGCCCTGGAGGATCCTGGGTCAGGACACCAGGTCCGGTTTCCCCTCCCTCCTTCTAATCCCTTGACCCTGCTGCGTTAGCCTTCCAGCACCTTCGTTCTTTTTGCTCAGGGCCCCAGTTAACGAAGGGGACGCTGATTTGAGGCCCTCGCCAGAGCAAACACTGGCTCGACCTCTAAAAAAGCAGGTGGGGTGCACCAGAAGTCAAGTGACGAGGGGGATGAAATCTGCTGCCGCTCTCCTCACAAGATTTGCCTTTAAAAGGCTAAGAGTCCTGCTCCCTTGAGCAGAAGCCCCCCACCCTCCTCCGGCCAGCACTAGGTGTGTGCGTGCAGGCAGGTTTGTGTGTGTCTGTGTGTCTCGTGCCATTACTTGCAGCAGCCGTGGCTTGGACGAGGGGGCAGCAGAGGTCTGGTTAAAGCGGAACGGGCAGGTTTCCAAGCGGCTTTGCAGTTAAGATTCCACTGAACACTCCGGTTACTGTAAGAGAATTCAATAACCCTGGAGCACGCGGCGGCTGGTTTTTCGGGATCGGTGACGGTTGAGGCGGCGCTGCGTGTTTCTGACCAGGGTTATACGAGGAACGGTCATAAACAGCCAGCCGGGGGGGAAATTCACCCCAGGGCTGAGGGCCAGCTCAAGGACTAGGCATTCCTAAGGCCGTCAGTGGGCCTCAATCCGTGTTGTGGATCCCAGCCCAGAGGTGAATGTGGCTGGAGAACGAGCTCCCTGAAGGGTGGTGGATGCTTGTATGGCTGTTCCCTCGCCATACCTGTCCTGGGAGTAAATTCAGGACATTGCTCCTTAGGGTTGCTGATCCAGCACCTTACACTAATGCTAAATTCACTGCCTGTGGAAGGGAAGTTGGCTGGTCCGGTGGTGAGAGCATTGGCTTGGGCTGGGGGAGACCTGGCTTCTATTCCTGCTCTGCTTCAAACATCGTGTGTGACCCTGGGCACATCCCTTAGCCTCTTCAGGCCTCAGTTTCCCCTCTAACATGGGGATAGTAGTACATCCTGCCTTCATGGGGATAAAGATGTTAGAGTGGGAGGGGCTCCACTATTACCTGCCGGGGGCCCGGGGTGCAAGGGGCTTCACGCACAAGGTCCCATTGTGCCAGCCTCCAGTTTCAGTGTGCGACTTTTCAGCAGCTGCTCCAGCGGTGACCCCAGGCCGACCCACTGGCTAGCTAAAGGTAGCAGGCTCCTGGCAGGCGATGCGCTCTCACACCTGCAAAGAGCAGTGGGCGGGTTGCATATTTCTCTCTCTGCCTCTCTCTCCAAAACCTGATGGAGGAGCCGCATCTGGGCATCCAGCTAGAAATAGAAAGCACCTGTGCGCCAGGCACCGGCCTCACAGCCCCGCTAACTGGAAGAGACCGGTACGAAATGGCCCTTTCAAACCAGCCTGACCTCAGATCCTCTCCCAGGATTTACTTCTCCATTTATTTATTTTTTTACCTCCTTGCATCTGAGCCACCTGGTGGGTACAGTTCCCTCCATCGCCTTTTGGGGTCACTGGCGAGCAGTGTGAGGGGAGTTACTACCTTCCCTTTGCACCGGGGCCGGGGGGGTGAGTCCCCCTTTCTCCACCCAGCGCCCAGGCAGGTGGGTGTGAGATAGGGTGACCAAATGGCAAATGTGAAAAATTGGGACAGTGGGTGGGGGGTAATAGGAGCCTGTATGAGAAAAAGCCCCAGATATCGGGACTGTCCCTATAAAATTGGGACATCTGCTCACCCTAGTGTGGGAGCCCAGTGCAGAGCCCTCCTCATGTTGGCCAGCTGGGGAAGCTCTGCCCAGCCCTGCCCCCCCCCCCATACCTCCCTTTGCTTGCATGGGGAATATCCCCAAGCACTAGGACTTGCAGTGTCCTGGCAGCTCACCCTGAGGGAATGTCTGCCCTGAAATCGCTACAGGGGCACAGCTGTAGTGTACATGCTCACAACAGCCATGGGAGGGGTAGTTAATTCACCTCCCCGAGAGGGAGTAGCTTAAGATTCTTTCCTCAGCCTAGCGCTGTCTACACCAGGGCTCAAGTCAGCATAACTGTGTCTCCTCGGGGTGTGGATTTTTCACCCCCTGAAAGACGCAGCTGGGCCGATGTCAGTTTTCTGTGTAGTCCTGCCCCGAGCCCAGGCTGAAGGACCATTTTTGCATGATAGGCCTTTGGAACATGAGGCTCAAGAACCCTCCCTGCCCCCGAAACACCTGTTTGTGGTGCAGCGAGCCCCTCCCGTCAGCCCTGCTTATCAGCCTGGCTCCACCCCACCTCTGTGGCTATTTATACAGATTTGCTAATATAGTTCACAATCTCGCTATTGTCATTTCAAACACTTTAAAAGTTCACCACTTCCCTTTGCTCCCCTCTGCACCAGCACCCTCGCTCGCTCTCCGTCATTCACCAGCTCTCTCCTCTTATTATCTTCCTCATTCATCAGTTCTCTCGCTCTCCATCACCATCTCTCTCTCTCTACCCCTGTGATGAAGTCAATGCACAGGAGATGGTGGTGGGTTTCTAGGGCTGAGCAAATGCAGCCGGAGTTCATTCAGCATTTCTTTATTATTCTTTCTTTCTATTCCAGGAAGCCCTTGGAGCATTGGGGCCTCACTGTACATATACATAATAAGAGACAGTCCCTGCTGCAGAACGCAGAGTCCCCACAGCTGCTTGCTTTGGTTAGAGCATCTGACTCCGGAGCAAAGCCTTGAGTCAAAGCCTGACATCAGGGCGCAGGGGTGCTGGAAGCAAAGTGGGTGCAGCGAGATAGGGTGCAATGGGGAATGGCAGTCGAGGTGCCAGATGGTTGTGCAGGTAAGGCTCCAGAGTGGGACTCAGGTTTAAATCCTGGCACCCTGCGTGACCTTGGACCCATCAGAGGGGGTCAGATGTTCAGCTCCTACTGGTTGGCCTAAGGAAGGGCCTGCTTTTGCGACGGGCTGACCACTCTGCGTGTTGGCCTCCTTTGCAAACCTGGCGGTAAGTGTCACCGCTGGCAGCTGGGCCTTTTTTGAAAGTCTGGCCCTGAGCTCTTTGGAATATTTGCCCCTCAATCTCTCCGGGCCTCAGTTCTGCTGTGGAAAATGGGGATCAGCCTGACCCTGCCGCAGGGGTTCTGCGCTGTTTGTGAGGTGCCCAGATACCATGGTGAGGGGAGCCTAGGTATGCAGCAGCGGGTGACGGAAGAAAGTTCCCCCTGAGTGATCCTGGGAGCTGTGGCCAGACCTGTGAGATGGCTGGCAGGTTAGCATCCCGGCTAATGGCAGATGTGTGGGCCGTGATGATGCTTCTCTATTAGGAAATAGTGGGAGACGGGGGGACTCCCCCTGGTGCTTTAAACACTGCCACAGGTTTTCAGCCAGGTCTGGGCCAGAACTTCACTGCAAAAGGAAATGAAAATCAAGAAAAAGAGAAAGCAGGGGGGAGGGAGTGAAAGCGGGAAAGTAGCTTTTAGATCATGAGATGGGCGGTGCCAGCTGGGCCTGGGGAGGGACTGAGAGGCAGGGAGGGGGGCTCCCCCTGCATTCTTGCAGCTGGTGGCATGGATGAGGAGATGTCCGTCCCCCCCGGCTCCCCCAACTTGCTTTGTCCTGATGGCCTCCCTTTGGCTCCGGTATATTTCAGGGTGTGCTCTTGGTCCCTCGCGGGAGTGAAGGAGCAGGGATCCTGACTCTGGAAGGATGGGTCCATGGCTAGGACAGAGACCCGGCTCAGTCCTCTGCTCCGACACTGACTTCCTGCGTGACCGCAAGCCAGCGCCTGTGGGCCTGATCTGTGAAGGTCGCGAGGTGTCTAATTCCCACTGAAATCAACGGGTTCCAAAAGACCTTTTAAAAATCAGGCCCTTGGCTTCTCAGTGCCTTAGTTCCTCATCTGTAAACTGGGGGGAATCTCAGAGCCGGGGCTCCCCCCGCAGCGGGAACGTTGACATGGCTATTTTTAGCCCCGCAGCGTGAGCCCCATTAACCCAAGTCAGTTGCCCAGGGCTCTGAGACTCGCTGCCATGGTTTGGCGATTTTGCAGTGTAGACGTACTCTCTGTTCCCACATCCCAGATCCTTCGCCGCCAACGCTTTCTGTTTCCCATGCACCAGACTGTGCCAGTCTCAGGGCAGCAGCCTGGCCTCTGATGTGGCTCAGCTTGGGACCTGCTCACATCCAGCTGGCAGAGGGATCTAGGGATCAGCTGACTCTCAGAGTCCCCGAGAGAGACTAGGGCATTTCGGACACACTGGGCTGGCTGCCTGTCCTGAGCTACAGCCGCGTTCGCAGGGCCCCCCTCCTGCACCAGCACTCGCAGCTGCATGCATCCACAGAGGTGCGAATACAGTCACAGGGAGAGCCACAACCCACAGGGCAAGCTCACGCACCCAGCACAGGGGCATTCCAGGCAAAGGTCTGTTCCCAGGCTTGCTGGGAGGCCTACGTGCATGTGTTCCCAGGAGTCTGGGCAGTTACAGGCGCATTCGGGGCCGGTGCATGCACTCCCCGGTTTGCCAGCAGAGGCAGGACTAGGGACAGATGCATGGGCAGGCAGGCCCGTAGGGCCACGCGTGACGCTCGACGATCCCAGGCTGAGGCCCTGCATTCTTCAGCTCACGTCTCCTTGAGGGTGCAGGCTGATGGGCCTTTTCAGCAATGACCCCCGCCCCCATCCCCAAGGCTGCGTTGGGGACTTCTCTGAGAGGTGTGAGGGGGGTGGAGGATGAGGGAGGACCTTCCACCGCCTTTCCTTCCCCTGCACCCTGCCCAAAAAAACCCCTTCCCTGATCTTGCACCTCAAACTGCGGCCAGCACCTCTTTTAGAAAGTGAAGCTGCCTTCTCAAATAAAAAGATGAGAGCGAGAAAACTGGCAACCCCATTTCCTGCCCCATGCTCTCTCTCTCTCCAAACACCTGGGGCTGCAGCTGCATGAAATTCACGGCTTGTTTTTAGAGGTAGAGTCAAAAACACCAGAGAGCAAAAAAGGTGGGAGGGGGAGGTTTGGCAATTAGACGCTTCAGACAATGATTTGAATCTCGTGCAGTTGCTGGGTGGAGATTTGGGGGGTGGGAGGGTGCGGGGGACTGATTTCAGCAGCACCAGCTCCGAGTGTTCAGGCCCTCAAAAATCAGGAGATTGTCTTACAAACCAGGAGATTTCTTTTTTAAATATTCTTGGGGGTTCTTTTTGTTCACGCCTGAGGGTGCCCTGGGGTCCATGTTTTCAAGCTTTTCTCTGCAGCCACAAGGGCTGGGGAAAAAAACATTTTTTTATTTTAAATAAATGAAAGCCAAGCTTGTCCCCTAGTCACGTGACTCCCAGCCTGGCTTTAAGAAATAAACCAAAACCAAATGTCACAAGACTTGTGATAAAATCTTGAGAGCTGTTGACACATTGCCCCACCCATATTAAATTCACCCCCCCCCCCGCCGTGCAACCCCCAGAAGTCTCATTTAAGCCAGGCCCCAGCTCAGCCCTTGAATCCAAAGATCTCCAAGTGCTTTCATCTCAGAACCCTGTGAGGTAGGTCAAAGGATATGAAGGGAGCTTCTCACCAACCACAGAAATGCAGCCACCTCTGAGGAGGAAAGCAGCCATTGTTTATCAGCGTATAGTAATGCTGTGCAACAGTTTAGGACAGGAAGTGAAGCAGAATCCAAGTGCCATTGCGGGGAGAAATTTTGGGAGGTGGAATGCAATTACCCAGAGTGGAATGAGGCCTACCTGCTTTAGGTAACAGTCTTGCAGTGTTGCCAGCTTGCATTAGTTTTACCATGAGTCGCAATTTTTGGTGTATTTTTGAAAGCCCCAGCTCCTGGACTCCAGAGAGAGTCTGAGAATCTCAGCTTTCGTGGACAAGAAAAGGCAAGTTTCTAGCCCTTCTGGTTGCAGAGAAAAGCTTGAAACAAGTGCAACCCAAAGGTTCAAAACTAGGAGAAAATTAAAAAGAACTCCAAATATGATTTTTTTTTCAAAAAATATGATTTTTAAGCCAGCCTTGTGACACTTTTGGGGCCTGACTCATGAGTTTTGAAGGTGTGAAGCTAGTAACACTGGCTCTTGCTCCTGTGAAAAGTGCACTGGGACCACCCACAAGCGATCAGGATAGTTCAGGTTTCCCTCTCCTACTTTCCAGCAGCACCCCCCCAGTACCATGATTTTACCACAGATCTCATGGTATCTGGGGCTTTTTCTTAAATCCTCAGCTCCCCGAGTCACATGAAACCCTGATAGGTTTCAGAGTAGCAGCCGTGTTAGTCTGTATTCGCAAAAAGAAAAGGAGGACTTGTGGCACCTTAGAGACTAACAAATTTATTTGAGCATAAGCTTTCGTGAGCTACAGCTCACTTCATCGGATGCATCCGATGAAGTGAGCTGTAGCTCACGAAAGCTTATGCTCAAATAAATTGGTTAGTCTCTAAGGTGCCACAAGTCCTCCTTTTCTTTTTATGAAACCCTGAGAATCTCTGCAGTCATTGTCAAACAAGCTAAGCTTCTAGTCTTTGCGGTAACAGAGAAAAGATTGAAACTGTGACCTCTAATGGCCCAAGTGCCAGGAGGCAAAGAAACAGAACTTGCCGTGTAAAATCTCATGACTTCTGAGGGCCTGGCACTGGTTGTGCCTTGTTGGATCAGGGCTGACTGAGATTGAAGCGTGTTATGTACTGAATGTCCAGCCCCACTTCCCGCAGCACGTGGGGGGCTGCCCAGGCCCAGAACTGCCCACCCGACCCCTGTTGACCTGTAGGCTCCAAAAGCATCCCCACACAAGGTGATGGTAGTACCCATCCATACAGGTGTGTTCTTCAGGGGCCCAACCTGCGTTCCAGGGAGTCTTTCCACTGACTCCAGTGGAAGCTGGATCAAGCTCTGAGCCTAGGATGGCTGCTAGCCAGAGTGAGTAAGTCAGCCGGTGGAAGCTGCCATCCTGGTCTCTCCGTCTTGGTGCCCAGGTGAAAGGTCTGTGTGGTTGGGCGTAGCACAAGCCACTGTTGGTATAGTGACCCAGGGAGGGCCAGGATGAATTCAGCCCAGGGCCCTAGTGCTCTCAGTCTGTGTCCCTCTCTGCCACTCCCTTTGTTGGCCTCCTTCCCGACCCATCGCTTCCAGGGCCTCACTCCTGATGGCTCCGGCTGCATAACCCAAAGGGGGAACTAACACACACAAAACGCACGGTCAACCTGTGGAACTCCTTGCCAGCAGGTGTTGTGAAGGTCAAGACTATAAGAAGGTTCAAAAAAGAACGAGATAAGTTCATGGAGGATAGGTCCATCAATAGCTATTAGCAGAGCCGGTGTCCCTTTTTGCCAGAAGCTGGGAATGGGCGATGGGATGGATCACTTGATGATTCCCTGTTCTGTTCATTCCCTCTGGGGCACCTGGCATTGGCCATTGTCAGAAGGCAGGATACTGGGCTAGATGGACCTTTGGTCTGATCCAGTCTGGCCATTCTTATGTTAAAAATCAAGAACTAAAACAAGCAAACTGGCATCTCGGCATCCCTCCAGGAGAGGAGCAGCTGCAGGGCTGGCCCATGTTCCACTTCTCCATTCCTTTCCTGCTCCAATGCTTTCCCTGTCAATAATCTCCGCTCAGCTAGCACCTGGTGAATGACACACCTTTTAGCTGCTTGCCCAGGTGCACGGAAATAGGCCACTCTGATGATGCCTAGAGGGCAGGGAAAGAAAAATACTGTTGTAGTCCTGAGATACCCAACCCAGATCATGAGCTGCAAAGTCACATAATGAGAGATGGTCCCTGCCTCAGAAGAGTCTCAATAGACAGGAGGTATTACTTTAGCGTGGAAGTTCTTTCAGACAGGGAATGTCTTTTTGTTGTGTCTGGATAGCGCCTAGCACAATGGGGTTCTGGGCCATGACTAGGGCTCCTAGGGGCTACCACAATTCAAACAAATCACAATTATTCTCCCCCTTTTACAGATGGGGAACCTTGGCACAGAGACTTGCCCAGAATCCCAAAGGAAATTTTTGAATTGGCGTCTCCTGGGTCCCAGCCCAGTCCATCACCACAAGACCAGCCTCCCTTCTCCAGGAAAACACCCTCCCGGTGTAAGTAGCATAGAGCTTTGTGAAGACATCCCAGCTAACAATGTCCATGCTGGAGTCCTTTTCTGTCTGTAGAGCCTTACAATTTATTTGTCCCTCACAGTGATTCGCCAAGCACTTTTGGAAAATAATTAGGAACAATGGGATCATTTGACACTGAGTCAGGCCAGTAGCCCCAGCCTGAATCCAGTCTCCTGACTCAGACAGTGGCCAGGACCAGCCGCTTCAAAGCAAGGAGCAAGAACCCCAGTGTGGACAGGAATGGACTATGTGCGAGGTGTTGTACACACAACAATGGGGTCCCGCATGCCTGGATGTGATGGTAATCCAAATAACAATAATTTAATAACTCGTCCCTGGGGAACTTTTCCTGATGTCCATCACTGAGTGGTTGGTTCGTGCCCTGAAGCAATGAGCCTTTATATCCCATATACATTTCCATCCGATCAAAACGCAATTGGATTTTCCCATTTGTCCATAGAAATGCCTGATCCTTTCGTGAATCCTGCTAAATTCTTGGCTTCAATGAGACGTTGTGGCAGTGAGTTCCACAGGCTAAATATGCACTGTGTACAAAATAAACCATTTTCCTGGCCCATTTTTAAATGTGCTGCCTTTCAGTTTCATCCTGTGGCCTCTCGTCCTTGAAATTAGGAGAAAGTGTAATGGCAATTCCCAGTCTGGAGTGCATTCGCAATCACTCAGTATTCCCGTTGTGTTGTTTAGACATGCAGGCCTCACTGTATCATTTCTGTCCTGGGAGTGGATGAGCATAATTCTTAGGATTGTGTTTCCAGTGCAAATGCTCTCATGGACGAGATGGCCCCTTGAGGTCCCTTGCTGCCCTACATTTCTATGATTTCTGTGATTTACGAGGTTAAAAAAAAAAAATCCACGCTCCACAGATGTTCTCTACTAGTTGCTTCAAACTTGCTGCTTCTGTGAAAATTCCTGCCTCATTTGCTAGAATATTGACCTGTAGCGAACGGTAAAATGGAGGGGCGTGCAGGCGAGGGGAATGCAGTTATCTGCTCCAGGGAATATCAGTGGGCAAAGAGCTGATACAGCCCCAGCACACGGCTGATACAAACACTACAGACAGTTGCTGTTCTGTGTATTCTCATGGCCTAGCAGATAGAGCACTAGATTGTGACTCAGGAGACCTGGCTTCTGTTCTCAGTTACCTGCCGGGTGACCTAGGGCAAGTCACTGACCTGCTCTGTGCCTCAGTTTCCCCATCAGCAAAAAAGGGCTAATGATAGTGATGTCCTTTTAAAGTGCTTTGAGATTGACACTGTTCTGCTCAGGAAATAAAACCAGAGTTAACCACCTTTCCCCATCTCTGCACCAACCCCACATGATCGTTTATTCAACAGAGATTTTTGCCCCTCCACACACAATCCCCCTGGGGGGCCTTGGCATGAGTGCAAAGGCCTCCCCATATTCCCAGCTCCAAGGAGCCCTTCCCACCCGAGTGAGGCTGCAGCTCTGGGCCGGTTCAGCTGTGGGGGCGAAAGGGGGAAGCCGCTCTGATGAGGCGGGGAGGGGCTATTGTGGCAGGGTCAGGGTGGGGGTGGGAGACAGTTTGCAAGCGGAGCCTGGCACAGACCCTCTCGGAGGGCGACATTCCGGCGGGAGCCTCTGCTGTCTTTGATACGTGTTCCAGATGGCAGGGCAGACTTGCTGGAGTCAGACGGATGCCGGAATGTCAGGGCCAGCTGGGTTCTTCATTTCCAGGTGGAAGTTCTCAACTCCTCTCTCCTGTCGGCAAAGCCTTTCCCAGCCGGTTCAGCGCAATCCCAGCCCATTCGTTCCCATCGCTGTCAAACACAAAGTTGGGGCTTGATTCCCACCAGCCCCCCACCCCACACCGTTCAGTTGATTATTGGCGGAGGATTCATGCGGGAGTGACATCATGTGGCAAGGTGAGCGCTTCACAATATCCCTTGGCACTGTGGAGCCGCAGGTCTGGGGGGGGGGCTTTTCCGCTCCAGAACCAGGGGCTTCAGATTCTGACCCAAGAACCTGTTGGCTCTCAGTCTGAACGTTCCCCTTTTGCCCCATCCAAACCCCCTGCAGAATTTGGTGTGAGTAGTGCTCTTATTTTTCAGCGAGAGTCAGGAGGAGCAGAGGGGGCTGCAGGCCAGGAATGTGGTACCTCTGTAAGGGATCAGGACTGGAGTCATGGGGTCGGGGGGCTGTGTGGGTGTCAGGCAAGAGTCTGGCAAAGGGTAGTTTGCATTAAGAGCACAAATACAGAGGACCATGTATTCTGTATTCACACCCCACCCCGCGAGCCACACCAGTGGAAAAACGGACAGTAACATAGACACACACACACACATCTCCGTCTAAAAAGTAATACGGGCATCCACCCCTTCCCAGTGTAATACAGATGGACAACAAAATACACACATATCCAAACAGACACACCCACACCCAGCCCTATACAAACAGTAATACACGCCGTCGTATAAATAGTAACACACACACGCCTATACAGACAGTAGTTCCGTATGCACACTCTCTACAGAGACATGGACACATCCCCACTTGTACACTCAGTATCACAGTCACACACACACAGACACTGAGTCAAACACACTCACAGACCCTGGTGGGGAATATGGAGTCAGAGTGAGATCGGTCATGGAACCAGAACTCCACATTTTCCCCCTTTTCAAGCATTTTCTTTTTAACTATAGCGTCCTAATTGGGTCCTTATGAATTAAATCTGTCTGTCTGTCTATCTGTCTAATTCCCACTAACACTAATGCCTCTTTAGCCTGCCAGACCAGCGTAAAGTACCTTGAAAATCAGGCCCATATTTTTGGGGGTAAGGAATCGATCTTTCTGCCTATTGATCTGTGATGTTTTATTGATATTGCAGCAGCGCTAAAGGGCCCCCATCAGGGATCAGGGCCCCACTGTGCAAGGTGCTGTACAAACACAGAACCAAAAGACCCCCAAAGAACTTCCCAACTAAGGATAGGATGAGAGACGACCGGTGGACACGGACCGACGGGAGGAGACCAAGAAAACAGTGAGTTACTTACGAAGAGCATGAGACGCAGCTGTCCCAACACAACTCCTTGCTGTCCAGGGTTCTAAAGGCATCCCAGGTGAGGAGAGGGCCCAGGAGGGATGTGAAGGAAGATGAGATGATGGCTATCTATCTACTGAGCTATCTAGCTACGTTCTTTCTGCCATTCTCTCTTTCCCAGGCTTGTAAACAGGAACAGTTTCCTTATTATTTTAAAAAAATGAGGAGGACTTTGTGGCACCTTAGAGACTTACAAATTTATTTGAGCATAAGCTTTCGTGAGCCACAGCTCACTTCATCGGTCCTCCTTTTCTTTTTGCGAATACAGACTAACACGGCTGCTACTCTGAAACCTTAGAGACTAAGTTCTTTTTGCTGATACAGACTATAGTGGCTACCACTCTGAAACTTATTATTTTAGGCAGGCACAGGGCTGTACCTCTATCCCCCCCCTTCCCCTTTGTCTGTTTAGATTGTAAGATCTCCCGGGCAGGGGCTACCTCTCGCTATGTGGATGTATGGCACAAGGCAGCCCTGGTCTCAGCTGGGATCTCCAGCAGCTACTATCTTATAAATAATAGTGTCCTAGGTACTTACACATGAAAAAGAAAGCTGAGAGCAGGGGGGTCTCAGTTTTGGAGACAAAGGCAGAACACGATCCAACGGCGGGACGTTGAAGTTAGCTGAATTCAGCCTCGAAATGAAGATGCAGTTTCCTAGCAGTGAGGGTAATGAAACGTTGGAACGGCTCACCAGGGGAGGTGGGGGATGGACGCGCCCCTACGTGGAGTCTTTAAAACGAGCTTAGATCTCTTTCTACAAGGCAAGCTCTCTAGTCCAGCTTCTGGGGGAAATTCTCTAGCCTGTGCCAGACAGGAGGTCAGGCTAGATGATCACAATGGGCTCTTCTGGCTTTAGTGTCTATGAATCTATGAAATCTTACACCAGCTCCTGGCTCGGGTCCCATGTGACTCCGGGCAAGTGGCTCCATCTCACTGTGACTCAGTTCCCCATCCATACAAGAGGAGGAGGATACTCCTTTGCTCTGTCTCGCCTGAGGCTGTGTCCATGCAGCGCCTAGCGCAGCCGGGCCCTGATCTTCGGCTGACGCCTCTTGCCCCTGTTGGAAGAGAAGTGATACGAGAACACTCTGGGGCTGAGGCTGCTCTCGCCTGCGTCAGGCAGGGGTGATGCCATTTGAAATCGCTGGTCTGACGCTAGCGAGAGGCGCTTCAGAGCCTTTGGCCTCTTTATTTCCAGGCTTCTTCCACGCCTGCAAGAGCTGGGTGCCTCTGGCCAGTTGTGCTCACATCTGCATCCCCAGCCCCTCCTTAGACTTGTCCCGCCGGGCGAATCTCCCCTGCCGGGCACGGCGGGGTGAATAGCAATGAACGGCTGGAAAGCGATGGCCCATTGTGCTTAACCCAGTACATTAAACAATCCCTGGGCAAGCAGGGCTCCTCAGACAGTGGGGTTTCTCACCAGCCTGATTGTCCATTGACGAGTCAATTGTGTTTGCTCCTTACCAGCTCATTAAAAGCCCATTTCGCCTGGGGATTATCCCCACTCTGTGGTGCCTGTGTACACTGGGGGTTGATTATTTGGCTGATAATGGACCCCCCCCCCATGCTCCCCTCCTTTGCAGTCTGGCTGAGGCCTCACACACGTCACCCCCTCCCTCTAGCCCCACTTGCCCTAACCCAAAGAAAACCACAGGCCAGGCCTTGTGAGGCACCTTCAGACTCCAGCTCTGGACAGGCAAAGAGGCATCTGTGCGTGACTCAAAGGACCTGCAGAATCTCACCCCCCCACACACCTTGGCTCTCCTCCCTCTGTGGCCCCTTCCCCCATGCCCAGCGTCACGCCTGCACTCCGGGCTGCCCCCCACCCACCTTGTGCCTAAGATCACTTTCCCGCTTCCAGAGCCTGGTGTACATCAGCAGCCGCCTGTGGGAGTCAGCGGGATGGCACTGCTGTGGGTGAGAGGAGAACCGGGCCCCTGGTGCAGCAGGAGCCCATAGCTCCCCACAAAAATCTATGTCTCGCTAAGATCAAATCATTGAGCTCTGGGCCCTCCAGAGCACCTGGGTGGGGCACGTCTGGGTTATCTTTATTATAGCCCATGATGATGTGCGGCTGCATACTTCTTCCCACCTGCACCTCTGTGCTCCGTGATGGGCTTTCTTCCCCCCTCGGCTCTGAAAGGCTGCCCTGGGCTTTGCCTCGTCTGGGGCAGGCTGCAGAGCCATCGGGGCAGGGTTCTTGCCCTGGCCTAGCTCTTGTTAGGGGCTTGTTTCCCTTAGAATTGCTCCTGTTAAATCGCCTCCCATCCCCTAAACCGCCTCCCTGTTAGCATTGCTTAAGTCAGGGGTGCAGATTGGCGCCAGGACACAACATGCTGGTCCTCCAGCATCATCATCACAGTGAATCCCAAAGGGCTGCAGCCTCCTGGCAGGTCAGCCGCCACCTGGCTCAGACTCAAGCTAGGTCCTGAGGGTGTTCTGCCTGGCTATTCAGTTTATGTCCATCAGTGGCCCTCCAGCGCTTCCCATGATCCCCCGTGGTTTATCTTGCCATTTGCCCGTTTGCTGTTCCCTGCCTGGACGTCACCTCCCGCTGCCTACAGGAGACCTCGCCATCCCGGTCGCATGCACCTTCCCGGGCCAGTCCTGCTGCTCATCTCCGGTACGACGCTCCAACTTGCAGGCGCAGGCCCCAAGGAGCCATCCTGCCAGCGTGCCGAGGCCGACACGGGGGCGTTGCCGGAGCTTTGGCGTGAGGCTCCCATTTTCCACCTGCAGATCTCCCAGCACTCTGCAAGGGTGGGTGGGGACCATTCCTCTGTCGCACAGAGGAGTAGAGACGTGGCCAAGGTCACGCAGCAGGCCGCGGCAGAGCCAGAAATAGACTCCAGGTGGCCTGATTCCCGGTCCAGTGCCCTCCTTCCTGCCACTGCAGATTGTGAGGCTACTTCTGCCCTTTCTCTTCATCCTCTTCCTCAGCGATGGGGCATCGCTGATGTGCACAGTGCCGCGCAGACAAGGGCACTGGTGGGTGAGGAGGCTTACGACAGCAGATACACTTGCGCGGCCAGATCCTCAGCGGGTGTTAGCTGAAATCCATGGAGCTGAGGACCTGGCCCTGAGCGGTTACAAACACAGCATGTTTCATAGGCTGCTCCCCAGGGGCGGACAGGGCGTGCCTCAGGGAGACTGGCTCTGGGGCGAGGAAGGCCGCGTCCACCAGGGTAGGGAGAGGCGCAATTGAAATGGGCAAATCTGGCAGGGTTCTGATGGAAAGAGGCGGGCACGCGTGATTCTGGCCCTCGCCCGACTCCCCTTGGGGCGGCAGCCGGGCCTGAGTCACGGTGCCAGGTGGAGAAGGGGCGGTTGGGTCACTTGGGAGCCAGCACTGCCATGGAATGGGGCATTTGGGGACTGAGTGTGCCAGAGGGGAAGGGCATGGTGTGGGGCGGGAGGGCCAGGCTCCCAAGCACTGCGCACTCAGCAACGAGGGAGACTGTACTGGGGCGGTGGGGGATGATGAGTTTGGGTGAGGAGACTGTATTGGGGTCAGGACACTATGGATGCAGGAAGTGATTTGCCCAGGGGAGGAGGAGTATCTGTAATGGCCCAATATCCCAGTCTGTCCCCCCCACACCACACACAAACACAATCTCCGCCCCCCTCCCCCCCGTCCCCCCGTGCAAGCTGGGAGTTCTCATGAGCATGGCCCTGCAGAGACAGCTTGACCGGAACAACACCCCACCCGCCGCCGTGCCGTACGATTGCCTTCACCTGTCACCTGCTCTTGGTGAATGGAAACTTTGTGTCAGAGAGGAAGCTGGGCGGCGGGTTGGCAGCTTGCTGCAGAGGCTGCTGGCTGGGCAGCTGTGCATGGGGTGGAGGGATTGGGGATGGGGGGGGGTGCCAGGCTGCATGGGCATTGCAGCCACACGATCTAGGTGGTTGGTTCAGCTCCAGACCAGGCTCTTGTGTGAATCCCGTCGGCACCGCTGGGTAGAGGCTGGTGTGACACTTGTTTGCTGGTCCCTGATGGACTGGAAATCTCACCTCCTCAGCAGGGTCGCTCAGAACTGAATGGGCCATGCACCCTGAAGTGTCCTTTCAGCCCCAGAGGTGCCCCTGCCCCGGGTCAGTGCTAAGGGGCATTGTCAGGGCTGAGTGTGTTTGTGTGTGTGTGTGATGAATGTCTCTGTCTGAGCTGAACCTGGATGAGGACAGGGCTGCAGGGACAAGCTGGTGCCTTTCACTAGCACGAATGACACTTCTAACAGGAGACACTGTGGACAAAGCACAGGGCTGGGTGCCAGGAGGGGCCAGTCCCGACTGAGTCACTTTAATCACTCAGTGCCTCCAGCTGTGGAATGGACCTGCGAGGCCGCCATAGCTTTGCAAAGTGGCCAGAAACATACGGCTACAAGCACATGTATGGTTTAAAAAAAACACAGTGCCACGGGGCCCCAACCCGGAGCCCTGATTTCCAAACCCATCAAAGAGCATCCTCACTTTGTGTCTAGGTCCTAGTCAAAGGCCTCGATGCCTTTCACTTTGTTTCTAGGCACCTCCCTGCCTTCAAATCCGAAACACTCATTTCCCAGCCGGCGGCTCCATTGTCTGATGCGTTCTGAGAAAGAGGGGTCGCCTTTGAAGGCCTTCTGCTTTTTTTCGGGGCCTGGCAAAGTGACTGAGCTCGCTCGCTGTCTCTCTCTGTGTTCTTATTTATAGCGATCTCTGTATTTTAAGGGCTTTTTGACGAGTGAAATAACAATTCAGGTTAGTTTGAAAAAGCGCCTTAACCACCACAGGAAACCAAATTGTACAAATGCAGATGTGAATGGAAAATACTCTCGAGATGGCAGATTATTGGCTTTCACCTTATCTAAAAATAAAGTAGGTTATTAGAGGCTGATAAACGCTGAGATAAAGCGGCTGGCTTTCCACCGGCAGAGGAGAAGAGGCTGCTACTCCTGGGCAGTAATAGCTCACGCAGGATTTGGGCGGGGGAGGAGCTCTGGCGAACGTATCGGAAAACTGTGTCTTGCGATCCCGCTGCAGA